GCTGCATGTTTTATATATCAATTCTAACAATTCGGTAATAAATAGGGCAGTGGAGCTGTGTAGTAAATTTGGTTATTAGAAGGGAGTCGCAGTGCAATGACGTTTGAGAGTTATTTAGATGTGTATGTTAGACCGGAGTGTCTAGTTTAGACATATAAATAGCATTTTCAATTGGCCATTGATGCCTCCTAGGATATAGTAAATCGTGTAAAGTCAACCTATTCAAAGGAATGACATTTCCAGTTGACCACTGATGCATCCTTGGGGATAGAGAACCATGGACACTTTTAGTTATACAAAGAAGCTGCATTTCATACTATAAGTTGGTCTACTGGGGACAAAAAACTGGAACATTGTCATCTGTAAAGATTCCAATTCGTTATTTTGGTGAGCTAAATATTTTTGATATATACATATTCATGCCAGAATTACATGAACGAATTTGATACCTTCTGAATCGTGTACACCTTTAAGTAACTAAATACTATTTTATTTATGAGCATGTAAGTTTATTCAAGTTTCAGTTATGAGAAATCATGAAATTATTACCCCCTTAGTTTCTGGTAGCTCCTATAGGAAACTAACAGAACTAATTTGTAATATATATTTGTAATTGAATTACTTTATTATTAATTATAACACCTAGTTAATCTCAAGGTGTTAGGGCACTATACAGAAAAAAATATTGTTGACAGCGTCAAATATCTGTGACACAGCGATATGTCTGCAGACTTACAACACTAGAAACTGGGTTTCGATACCCCTGGTGGGCAGAGCACGCATAGACCATTGTGCAGGTTTGTGCGGAACTTCAAATAAGTAATATCTTATAAATTCACTTTCCATGTTTATTTGTTTGTCCGCGAATAGTTTCGGAGTTTCAAGGACAAATTGGCATGTGGACGTGGGGGCTGAGGGGTATCCTTATTCATACGGTGTAGGCCCCATACTAAGGTAATACTAAAGGGGTTAAAACGCCCCTGAAAGGTCGGTCACATAAACATGATTGGAATAGGATATTTATTCGGTTCACTAAAATGGTGAATTTTATGGCCCATACAAATTTCTCCGAGTGAAAAGGGGTTCACGATAGCTCATCACAGATCTATGTTGGACATGCAACAAAAATTCACACTTCTACACAGTGATTCCATTTCTATAGCTTACTATAGGTCTATGTTTGGCGTTTAACAGTAATTCACACTTTCACAACGACATTCTATAGGCCTATTTTTTATGTTCAATAATAATCACACTTCTACACGGTGGTTCTATATTACCATAGGTCTATATTTGGCATGCAACAATAATTCACACTTCTACACGGTGGTACTATATTACCATAGGTCTATATTTGGCATGCAACAATAATTCACACTTCTACACGGTGGTACTATATTACTATAGGCCTATTTTTTATGTTCAATAATAATCACACTTCTACACGGTGGTTCTATATTACTATAGGTCTATTTTTGGCATGCAACAACAATTCACAATTCTTCGACGTGGCTCCGTTTTACTATAAGTTTATGTTTGGAATGCAACAACAATTGATACTTCTACTTTTCATTGCCATTATTTGGTGTCTTGATTGTTCAACTTATATAGTTATGATTGTTTTACCACCATTACGTTATCCTGTTATAGCGGTTTGGTTTTTGAATTTCACGCAAAGTTACACGAGAGCTATCTGCGCTAGCCGTCCCTAATTTAGCAGTGAAAGACTAGAGGGAAGGCAGCTAGTCATCACCGCCCACCGCTAACTCTTGGGCTACTCTTTTACCAACGAATAGTGGTATTAACCGTCACATTATAACGCCCCAGCAGCTGAAAGGGCGAGAAAGTTTGGTGGGATGGTGATTCGAACCTGCGACCCTCAGATCGCGAGTCGAGCGCCCTAACCAACTAGCCATGAAGGGCCATTATCCTGTTATAACTAGTGAATTAAACAAAACAAAGATAATTTTTAAGTTTATGAACTTCGTTTGTGAAAACATTGTTATAATGTTTGTGTTTAGCCTTGGGTTACCTATGAAACAGAAGCCAGAGAGTTCTGTGGCTTCTATGTCTACGGATTTACAGTGCTAAAATTCGGGGTTCGATTCCCCGAGGTAGACACAGCAGAATGTGGCTTTACTCTAAAATAAACAAACAACCAGAAGCCAGAGAGATTTGTTATAGCTACTATCTACGGCAGTCGATATGCTTTTGACGGAAGAAAACATGACGGTTGTGGATACTTTATTTGTGAGAGATTTTATCTACGAACACTGTGGTTAATTCAGCATTATTTCATTAGAATCTTTGTTTTCGTTTAACACCCTTTACCACATCCAATCTATTCACCAGGTTTTAGTAATGTCGTTATAGTTTGATCGTTTCACTGTTTACCCTTCGTAATGTGAAGTGGTCAATGGCTGTTAAAAGTCATTTATTTGAGCTCGTCAAACGTACTTCTCTCTTTTCTTCTCTACTTCTCGTTACATTAAAATTCTATTCAGCAAATCATCGAACCTCTTGTTATTTTGGATGTACTTCTATGATATTCTCCTCTAAATAATTGCTTATTTTAGAATTTTCGCCACAGCCCACACAAGGGCCATCTTCACACAGCCATCCCTAACTTTTAACTGATATATTAGAGGGAAGGCAGCTAGTCAACAACACCAAACGCCAACGTTTATGACTTCTTTTGTTGACCTAATAGTGAGGCTTAATTGTTACTTTTATGGCAAAGGAGAGCGAACCATAAGATTCCCGCCCTTACGTAAATATCAATGGCTCTGTCTGGGGAACTGTGTATTTATTTTGAAAGAGTACACGAACAAAAGCAAAAGGAAATTATAAAGCTATTTTCTACTTAGAAATTAATATTATAAACTATACTGGTATAGGAAAGACTGCTTCTTAGGTACTGTACTTGTAATGTTGACTATGTGTGAAAACAAAAAGTGTCAAGACATGCCTTAGTATTAAAATATAATTAACTATTTATATATATAAAGTGTTATTAAAGTAAGCACTTTTTAAAGTACTATATGGTATAAAAACGTTAAATATACATGCCTTTAGGAGATTTTCACACACTTCATTGTTTGAAGCAACAGCCGAAATAAATTTCATCATGACAATAATATCTGCTCTTTTAATTTCTTCGTTCACCTCCTCTTTCCATTTCATTTCACACAAATCCTGACGCACGAAAACTGTTCGCGAAAAATTAATATGTTGTTCTCCTAGTAGATCTACTAGTGAAAAATATGCTTCTTTCCATCCTTCACATCTGTCAATGATTGTGGCGTTGATTGTCAGTGGAATCAGCATACTCTTCAAAGCTAAAACGATTCCCACAACATCGATTCCAGGACCTCCACCAATGGAACAAATGTTCAACGTATTTTTACACTGTTGCAGCCAATATTTAAGAGGAGTTTGAGTTAAGTCATAAAATATGCTTTCAGCCATTTTGGTGTGAGCAATAGCGTACATATAAAAGTAGGCCATACGGTTCCTTAGATCATTGAAATCCACATCCGTTGTCCCAGCAACGAGAGAACTGTAACTATATGCTTCTCTTATTTGCGATATTCCAGTCGAAAGCTGATATTTCGTCTGATCATAATCTAATCCTAATTTCTTAGTTTCGAGATCAAGAAGCGCTCTATACAAATTTTGTATTTGATCATCCATGCTTCTTTAACTGGGAACATAAGATTTTTTTTTCCTGTACTGAACTCTTCCCACGTTTTCTCTGTGGTTTAGGGTATACAAATTTCTTTGTTTCAAATTCCTGTATCACGTCGTCTGCTTTCGTTCTCGCTGTTGCTGATAACGCCAATGTGTCTTAATAATGTCTGTATTTTTGTTGTTGTTTTTTATCAACGAAAATTACCTCTACAATTATAAGGAAGTGACGTAAGTCCGTCGGGATTGCACTGATTTCTGGTGCTGTGATGAAAGTTTACAAAGTGGCCTTTTTTCGTCAACGAGCTAAGGTTTCGCATGTTAGTCATAATTACAAGGTCCCAACATTGACAACAGCTTAGTTCTGTCCTAAGTTTTGGCAAACACTGATTAGTCAAACAGAAATAAAGAATAATTTGAATTCCAATAAATATAAACCAGGATATGGTAGTTTTAAATACCTATTGCGGTTTGAGAAAAATAAATAAGTATAGGGGAGTTTTTATTAAGTGCACTTTAGTCTATTTTGCTTGGGGCTGTTGATAGCGCGTTGACGTAGTTGTTAGCAAGTCTCATAGCTACACACACGTAAAACATAGTCACCGCGAGAATAATCAATGATAGAATAAAGATAAAATAAAACTGCACAAAGATTAGATGCTGGTGAGTGAATATTTCAGATTCGACATTGAAATATTCATTAGGTAGTGGATTTTTATAGAAGAAAAAGTAATGGTTCCTGCAATGCTACACTTACAGGAAAACACAGTTTGACTTAAAATCATAAATAATATTTAACGTTAAACTGGTACACAATTAAAAAAACATTTTATTTAGGTCTATCTATGGC